CAAGAGAGACTTTCAGCATTGACTCAGTTAACATCACACAATCAGGAGTAATTGCCTCAACGACTCATCAGGTCTCTATTTGAACTTTTCATGCCATCTGCCAATTCTTTAGTGAAGGCCTACCCACCGCCTGTTCCCTCAGCTCATGGAAGCATCCTCCTCCCCAGAGCAGTAATAAAATTATTCTAAGGCTTGTAGTCACACTGAGAGTGTCCAAGTCTTTTGCTCACGTCCTCTCTTGTTTTCCTGTCTCAGTGAGATGCAATGGTACTGGAACTTCTAGAACCAGAACCTCAGGGTCTGAGATCCCTAGCCCTATCAGGAAATATCAGCTTACTTACAAAGTCAGTTTCATTAGCCGCTCCTCAACTTTCATTGCACATTGCCTTAAAGCTGAGATCTCTGTCTCTAATTGCTTAATAAACTAACCTAGCTAAATTTTAGTCCTATTATGTTAACTGTCCAACTTCTGCTGGATGCTCAATAACAAGAGAATGCAGGACTTGGCACTTTCTTTACCCTCTCAAGGAGTCTCCTCCAGAAGCCACTGAGCTAACTGCTCAGAGAGCAACAGCTTGCTTCCTATCCCATCAAGGGGACTTCCTATATATGATCATGTGACCTAATACCACCATGCAGTACCTGACCACCTATTCATCTGACCCTCTGTATTTGCAATGTTATTCCCCCAGCTCAATCACAATGTGATCCATGAGAACGTCTCATCTTGTTCCAATTACCAGCTATACCAAATGTTAAGGGTAAGCATGAAATGAGACACTCATAAGTCAATGAACAGTTAGTTAACAAAAGGTTAACTTTCCCTAACATGGTAAGTATATGCAATAAGGATAGAGTGGCCCTTAGTTTCTAGAGATACATCATTCTCCATATAGAAATTCATCTAGTTAACAGAGAAGGGTATGGTGACTCTTGTGGTTTTCAGACGTCCATCAAATCAGAGTGGCAATGACTGCAGGTGGATGGGACTTTCTACGCTCTTAGATTGTCTCGAATCTGTGTCAAAGGAGACAGGGGCCAAACAAAATCCAGTGACAGTTTTGCTTCCTTTTAGGGAAAGCTTATCCCTATTGCATCCCTGTTGAGGGAGGAAACCTGATAGATCTTGTCACCCAGATAGATACTGTCACAACAACCGCATGAAAAATTTCTCCAAATCACTAATAATCAGAGAAATGCAAATGCAAATAACTCTGAAGTTCCACCCCACATCCAGAATGACAAAGATGACAAAAAGAGAAAATTATAATTTTTAGAGGAATTTTGTGAAAGGGTACTTTTGGCTAAATATCGAATTGACCCAGTCATTTTGGAAAACAATTTGGGAACCATGCTCCAAAAGGCACTAAACTGTACATACCATATGACTCAGAAGACCTATACTCTGAGGAGATCAAAGAAATAAGAAAAGTACCCATATCTACAAAAATATTTATAGCAGCTCGTTTTGTAGTGGCCAAAATAAGAAAAGAAGAATGTGCTCACCTATTGAGGAACAGCTAAACAAATTATGGTATATGAAGGTGATAGAATTTTTGTTTGTGTGAATGAACTGATAAAATAGTTTCAAAAGAAACTAGAAGAAATTTATGAACTTATGTGAAATAAAGTAAGCATAACTAGGAGAACAATTTATACTATCAAAACAACATTATGAACAACTTCAAAAGACTTTAGAATTCTAACCAATGCAACGACAAACCTAAATTCCAGAAGATGGAAGATGAAGCACTAGACCTATATTTTTCCAGAGAAATGATGGACTTAGAATGCAGAATAAAATAGGACTTGTGGGAATGTGTAGCAATTGTGGGAATTTGTTTTGACCATACACTATTTGTTATGAGAATATTCTTTATTTTTAATTGTTCATTGCAGGGGGAGTGGAAAAGGGAAAGAAAATAAATGCTTTTTAATAAGGAAAAAATAATAAAATTAAAATTTAGAAATAGCAATAACTTTGAAAAAGCAGGATAAGTAAATCCACAAATTATCAGCTTTTGTGTACATTACACAACAAAACACAACAAAAAAAGAAATTCCATTCAAAATGATTAAAGAATACATACAATATTTAAATGTACATTTATCAAGAGGCACACAGAAATAAGTACAAAACTCTCTTCTGTAGAAAGAGACCTAAATTGAAAAGATGTTAAATGCTCATGTTTAAGCCACATTAACATAATAAAAATGATACTACCTACATTAATTTACAGATTCAATGCCAAGCCAAATATGTATATCCCACAGGAACAAATGAATATTAGCAATTTCAGATCTAAAACTAGACCAAAAAGTAGTAATCAAAAACTTTTTGGTACTGGTTAAAAAAAAATTGATCAGTGGAACAGATTTGGAACACAAAATCCAGAAAGCACTAAAACAGCAGTGTTTAATAAACCCAAGATCACAAACTAGTAATTTAAGGACATAAAATGATGGAAAAACTGGAAAATGGTAGAAAATAGTCTGGAAGAAATTAGGATTAGATCAACATCTCTCACCATATCCCACAATAAGCTCCAAAAAGATATATAACCTAAAAGTAAAAGGTCATAACATAAAAAAATCAAAGGAGAATAATGTGTACCATTCACAACAATGGATAGAGGAAGAGTTCTTGAGCAATTCATGACAGAAGATCACAGCAGAAAAAATAAATAATTTTGACTCTATAAAATTAAAGTATTTATACAAAATGAAGATATATAGCTAAAATTAGAAGGGAAACAGTTAACTGGCAAAAAAAAAGTCTTTGTAGCAAGTTTATTTGATAAAGGTCTCATATCCAAGATATATAAATAGCTATTTTATAAGAACAAGAGCTAATCCCCAAAAAACAAATGCCTGGAAGCTATGAAGATGAAGTTATCAAGGAAAAAAAGCATAAGATATCAACAGCCATGTGAAAAAGCAACAACTCTAAATTACTAATAATTAGAGAAATGCACATTAAAACAACTCTGGGATAACATAATTATAATAATCATAATAATCACATTGCAAAGACGACAAAGGAGAGAAATGACAAAATGTTGCAGAGGCTACTGGAAAACAGGCATACCAGTAGTACATCGATGAGGCTGTGAATTGGTCCAACTATCCTGGAAAGCAATTCTGAATTATAAGAAAAACTCTACACCATTCATTCTTTGTGCCATTTACTTCACCACCACCTATGTACACTAAAGAGGTTTAAAAAAAAAAAAGACAAAAAGGACTTATATGTATCAACATATTTACAGCAACATTTTTGGTTGTAGCAAAGAACTAGAATTACAGTGAGCATCCATCAACTGAGGAATGGCTGAACAAATGTAACATTATTGAGCTGTAAGAAATAACCAAAGGGATGCAGTCAAAGAAACATGGGAAAACTTGTATAAAATTATGCCAAGTAAAATGTAGAACTAGGAGAACTATTTATACAAGGACTACAACACTATAAAGTTAAACAACTTTAAAGACCTAAGAGAACACTGATCAATACAATGAATAACAAATCACAACTCCAGATGAAACACACCACCACTTCTTGTTGGAAACATATGTTTGTATGTATATGTGTATATATGTATATGTATATGTATATGTATATACATACACACATATATATATATATTTCAAGACACAACCATTACAACACAAATTTGTTTAACTTTACTATACTTTTGTGATAAGAGAATGTTTTAGTAAAGGGGAAAAGAGTTTGGGAAAAGAGTTGAAAGGTAGTGACAGTGCTACCAAAAAATTCTAAAAGGAAGATGGGAAAGAAAAGAGCATCAATACACAATTTTTAAAATACACAAAACAGACAAGTAGAGAATTGAGGAGAGTAAGGAGGTAGGGAGAAAGACAATCAGCCAACATTAGTATTACCATATATAATTTAATATAAATTTAAAGGAACAAACTATTTACAGTAGATTTCAGTTTAATGAAGAATCTGTCGTTTCTAGCCTTTATACATGGAACTGTTCATGTTTATTGATCAGTTTCTAGTTTATAGTAAGGGAAAAATGCCTGGATTCTTTACAGCTAGTTGTTTTTAAAGAGCCACAATAGTACAAAGAGGAGAAAGAAAAGTAATTTTTATTTACCTAATCATTTTCTTAATTGATAAATTTCATTTTTATATAAATCATATCCCCAAAATTTGCAAATAAACTAACCCAAATATATATTCAATCAATCAACAAACATTTATTAAGTGCCTAGCATGTGCCAAGTACTATGTGAGGTGCAAGGGAAACAAAATTTTGTTTAAAATGTCCCACTACTACCTCTTGAATATTGTTTTTGAATCTCTATTATTTATAGTATTAAAGTTTTATAAAGTTATCCTACATTCAAGTAAAAAGAACTATCTCTACTTGTTGCTATACCTCTTAACCTTTATTTAAAAAAAAAAGATAATGCCGAATTAAGTAGAAATTCTTTTCCCTTCATCTCTTTCTCTTTACACTATGGTACCAATGTTGTCCATTGTGTATGATCTGAGTTTGGTTGCTGTTTGATATTTATTGCAGTATTAACTTAGATAGCTACAGTAATTCTTTGGGTGTTATCTTCTTTATTCTATACCATTTCACTCAATTTCTGTATTTCTACAACATTCCATATTTCTATTCATCACTTTTACAACAGCTTTTAGGGGAGTACAGACCTATGATTACATCAGTGTAGGGCTTTTTCAATGATGAACTTCCTCTACCAATGTAAATCCACATCTGCTTTACAAGATTTAGTCTTAGGCAAGTTGTCTCAGGCACTGAGACTATTTTGCTCATTCATATATTATTCCTAAAGATCCAGCAATATTCTAATATCTTCTTTTACCACAATTTGTTCAGCCATCCCCTAATAAATGGTAACACAGTCCAAGAATCCGCAAAATTTTAACAATGAGCTTGGAACACACAAGATACATTAAAAACATTTGTTTTCATTATAAAAATTAGGGGAAATGCACTTACCAAACTTCCAAAGAAAGATAGCTGCAATCACAGCACCAATTAGTATTATTCCAATGCTAATGACAACACATACGATTTTCTTAGCCTCTAGAATAAGGTGGGAAAAGAAAAGCATAAAACAAAACCAGACTATCATAAACCCAGCTCCCCACATGTTATAACTTATTAAAAATATACTAACTTTCAAAAGCTCCTATTTTTGTTAAAATGTGTCTTAAGAATTAAAAAAGGGGGGGGCAGCTAGGTGGTGCAGTTGATAGAGCACCAGCCCTGGATTCAGGAGGACCCAAGTTCAAATCCAGTTTCAGACACATAATGCTTACTAGCTATCTGACCATAGGCAAGTAACTTAACCCCATTGCTAACCAAAAAAAAAAAAAAAAAGATTAAAAAAAAATTACCTGGATACACACCTTCACACTTGCCTATGCACATCATTAGTAAAAGAATTATAGTTCATGCTTTATTTGTGTGAAGAGTAAGAAGCAAAGAGAGATTATTAAAACTACTTCAATAGATCCATGATCTCATTACTGTGGGTATAATCTATATGGTTACAGATCCTAATCCATCCAAACCTTCTCATGCTATGGATTTCACCCATAGATAACCTAAGCTAAGACCTTTCCTCAAAGCTAACAGAACTAAACTCTTATAAATAAGTGACTAGATATGTTGCATTAAAGAGACCCCCTAAAAAGCAAAATGGATGAGATTACAAATACTCTAAAAAAAGAAAAAGTTACTATACTAGAATGATAAACTATTATTAAGCAAGAACATAAATAAGAAAATACATGTATTTTTAGGAAAATTGAGTACTAGGTGAATATTACAACGACCATACAGAAATAAGCCCAAGGCAGAAACAAACAAATCAACTTACCAACATTTACTCAAGAAATGATTGGTAAAAGCAACAACATGCAGGAGAAAGAAAATTGAACCAAGAATTTTTACCTAGATTCTAAATATTATAACAATAAAAAGCTCACAATATATAGCCACTTAGGGTATCAAGTGATATTCTCACATCTGAGCATTAAGTATTAGTAATATCATTTTTATTCTCTCTGGATATCAGTTTCATGTTCAACAAAAATAAAGGAGTTGGACCATATAATTTCTGTTCTAATTCTAATATTCCATGCCTCTATAATTCTGATTTTAAAGTTTGGTCCATGAATCAATAGGAAAGGGTGGGGAGAGAGGAAAGAAGAGGGGGATAAAGGAAGAGAGGAAGGGAGAGCGAGAGACTGCAGGTAGGTGGCACAGTGGATAAAGCTTCCAGCCTGGAATAAGGAAGAGTTCAAATGTGTCCTTAGACACTTGATAGCTGTGTATACCTGGGCAAGTCACTTAACCCCAATTGCCTCAAAATTAAAAAAAAAAAAGAGGACTGATTTCAGATTCTGAAGATTTAGGTTGCATTCTGGGATCCATTTCCTATTATTTATGTCATTCTGGGCAAGTCATAATTTCTCTGAATAACATTTCCTAATATGAAAGAGGATAATAATAATAGAGTATTATCTCATTGGGTTGTTATGAGGAAGCTAAAACAATAGAAATGTGAGCCATTATGTTTGTTCCTCTTGGAAAATTAATCTCCTACTCATAGTACTATGTGTACTGTATACTACAATTCACTACGATTATAGTACTATAAACTATGATTCACTCTTAAGAATATCTTAAGTTTACAGGGCACTGTACTTATAACAATCCTGCAAATTAGATAGTATAAGTATTATCTCTGTTTTAATGATAAAACAGAGACTTCAGAGAGTTATAATACTTCAAAAGCAGCTCACACTTTTCTTTGGAACTAAAGAACATATTTTCACCCAAAACTCAAAGGAAAGTAGAAATACAAACCAAGATAGCAGAAGCACCAGAAGCAATCCAATATTGGAGCTAGAAGGAATTACATAAATATGTCCAAGCTTCTGATTTTATAATGAGGACACTAACGATGAGATAAGCAAAGTGACTTATCCAAGGTCACATTTACCCATGCAGTAGTATAGCAGAAAGAGTTCTGGACTTAAGGTAAAGAGAGATTGTGGCTCAAATTCTACCTCTGACAGGCCATGGACAAGCCATTTAATTTCTCAGAGCCTCAACTTTTCTAATCTATAAAATAGAAATAGTACCTATATAGTATCTACCTGATAGGATTTGATGATATTAAAACCACACAATGTAAGCAATCTGTAAGGTTTAAGTATTATCTATGTCAGCTATTATTTGTGATGGTAAGTAGATGGAATATAACTAGAAATCACCCAACACTTCTTTATGACTTCATTTACTTGGAGGAATGAGCAAAACCTTCTTTACTCTTATTCTCTAAAATATAAAAGAGGAAGTGGTGAGGCTGTGAACGGAATATAAGGGAAGAGAATATCAGTCCTTTACTAAATCACCTCTCAACCCTTCCTAGTAAAAGTTAACTTTAGGCAAAATTAATCTTCTCAGCATTTCTGGCAAATGTTAAATAGGAGGCTCTCAAGAACACAAACCTAGATAATCCTACATAACATGTGCTTTCTGTTCTTCCCACATGGAGATGATGATGTTGACAATCAACAGAAGGGCATATGCTTTTTACAAGTGTTATTGTAATTCTTATCACTTGATAAAGTCTTTGAAGCTTTATCTGTAGAAAACACAAGGAAATGTGGTTTAAAGATAATCCATATCCACAATTAGGTGGATTTGGAACTGGTTGAATTTCCAGAACCAAGTAGTTAGATGTCCTTTGGATATCTTTGGATGGATGGATGGATGGATTGATGGACTGATAGATCAATCCTTTTGGAAGGATGCCTCCAGTGGAGTGCCTCCAAGAATCTATGCCCTGTGCTGTTTAACATTTGGATAAAGGCATATGAGGTATATTTATCAAATTTGTAGGTGACACAAAACCACTAGGGATAATCAATACAATAGGACAACCATATGGTAAAAGATTAGAATGTTGGGCTAAAACAAATATAATACAATTTAATAGGAATAAAGAAAGTCAATTTTAAAAAATCAACTTCAAAGTACAAGATGCAGGAGGTATGACTGGATATTGGTTTATCAGGAAAAAAATGCTAGTGATTTTAGTTGAAAGCTGAATTTGTGTCAGCACTCTTACATGGCTGCTCTAAAAGTTAATGCAATCCTAGGCTATATTAGGAAAGGCAGAGTTTCCAGAAATAGAGAGAGAATAGTTGTCTCTGGCCTGGAGATGGTACTTAGAGATCTGTATTCAATTCTGATCACCGCATTTTAAGAACACTGATAAACCGGAACACATCCAAAGGAAGGTAACCAGGATGGTGAAGGGTCTCAAATTGATGCCATAATAAGATAGGTTGAAAGAACTAGGCATATTTAATCTGGAACAGAGAATTAAGGTGGAAGGCAGAAAGAAGGGAATTTGTAGTTCAGAGAGAATTCTGTAGGGAACACATAAAAAAAATGAAGACAGAAGAAAAACTGAAAATAAAGTTCAAATAACAGAAAATGAATGAAAGGGTCACAGTCTAAACCTTAGAAATCACCTTTTCTTAAAGACCCATCCTGTGACCTACCACAAAGACAGTTAGCTATGCTGATTCCAAGAAAACAGTTCAAACCTGGAAAGGTATCACTGGAATGTTTCAGTATCAGTTAGTCTTCACAAAGAAATTCAATCCATTAATACCATATTAATAGATCTAATATATACATAACAGTGTGCTAGGAAAAAAAAAGGAAGATACCAAGGTAAAGTAATACATAGGCCTTGCTTTCTAGGCTTGCAATGCTATGAGAGATGAGGTATACACATCTGAGAAAGTACGGTAAGAGTGAAGCAGCATTTGATAGAGTGTTAGAAAATAAATGCTATGAAGTTTAGCTTTGAAGGAGGTCACTATGAGCTTGATCATTTCAAGAACTATGAAAAAAAGTCAGATTAAATCTGGGTCTTGCAGAGTGAGTAGGATTTGAACACAGCAGAAACAGCATGAGCAAAGGTTTGGAGCAGAGAAAACAGTATAAGACGGTAGAGTCTACAGAAGACTCATGTTGGGGAATTAATAGTAAGAGAAGGTTCCAGGGATAGGGTAGGACTATGAACTAAAGATTACTAAATGGCACATTTATTTAGGGAAAAAAATGTAAAATCGATAATACTTGAAGCAAACACGATCCCAGATGAAGATATTGGTTGTAAATGGACTGCTGCTGGTGTTGAAGTATGAGTAAGAACTGTTGGGATGTACTGTGGCACTGCTGAAGGGCAATATGGAGCTGGGTAAGGTACATAAGCATTAGCATTCACAATGTGCCCTGGAGGATAGTTTTCCAGTTGATAACCATGGTTGTCATAGTAAGGTCCAAATGCTGGTGGCCCCTAAATAATAGAGAAGGGAGAAAAAAATGCAAATTCCTTAATTGTCCTAAACAATAAAAAAAAAAAACCCATACATCCAATTCTAACAAAACAAAAAAGCAACATCCATGCTATATAGTAAAATGGCTCTAACCAGAATCTTTAATATTCATTGAAATAGTAGATCAATGTAATCCACTTTAAGAAGAAATAGAAAAATGAGCTGATAAAGATTTGATTTCATCAAACTTTCAGGAAGGCATTTAGCAACCTTATCTCCTATGCCTAAGTGAAATTCATTCTAACATTTATCAAGTGCTAGGTGAGAAAGGCCACTTGGCATAGTAGACAGAGAGCTGGGTTTGGAGGCTGGAAGACCTACCTGCAAGTCCCACCTTTGACTTATACTGATGGTTTGACTCTGGGTAAATAACTTTTCCATGTCCCAAGTAATTCTTAGAAGACTGTGAATTACAGAGCACATCCCAATCTATATTAGTAGACGTAATTCCAGAGGAAGAAGAAGAGGAAAAGGGGAAAGAGGAAGAATAACAACAACTGGCTATAAAAGGTTAAGGACAGTTCCTGGCTTCACTTAAATATCTGTGTACAGGATGCATATAGAAAAGCATGAAACAAAGTTAAAGGGATCTAGATAAGGTACTCTAGGAAAAAAAGGGAAGAGAACATTCAGCCTGGGGGTTCAGAAAAGCTTCCCAGACCAGAAGGTGGAATCTGAGTAAATTCTTGAAAGAAGATAAGAACTGTTTGAGGCAGAGAAGAGATAGGATTATACTATACTCCTTGCAAAGATACTGAGCTAGGAAATAAATTGTAAAGCTAGTAGCCCAGTTTGGCTGGAATAAAGTGTGTGTAATGAAAGGGGAAAGGAACAAGAAGGAATCTTTTAGGGAGATTGTGAACAAGGCCCTGGGACTGTTAGATGAAAGAGATTGCATTTTATCTTAGAGGTAAGAGAGCCAACTGGAAAAGGGACATGTCTCTCCCATTAAAATATAAGTTCCTATGAGGAGAGACTGCTTTTTTGCCTTTTGTTTGAGTTTTCTGGCACCCCCAGCACTTGGAAAAATCCCTGGTAGTCAGTCAACAAGCATAAAGGCTTAATAAATGCTTATCAATTGATCTCTAATTGGGCTTTTGTCTTTTTTCTATTTTATATGGAGCATTTTTAATGGTACAGCCCCTCATAGCAATTATATGAAGGCTTTTATCATCTGAACTTGCCTTTGCCAACATGTCAATAAATAGAATCATAGCTTTTTAGTAACTTGCCCAAAGTCAATTTAGGTAGTAAGAAAAACTAGGATTCAAATTTGGTTCTCTAACTTCAAATCCAGCATTCCTTTTAATGTACCATGCTATTTCCTTCCTTCTTCTAACCCATTCTGCCTCTCTTCCTCTAAGAGATAAGATTTACAAATATGCACATTTCTCAGAATTACTAGATCCTATTTATTGCTCTCACATTCTGACAATTTACAACCTCAATTTAAATTAAATTCAATAAACTTTTATTAAATGCCCACTACATGCCAGGTACTGTGCTAACTACTGGGGATACAAAGAGAGGCAAACAATAGTCCCTGTCTTCAAGGAGCTTATAATCTAAATTAAAACTATAATGATTATAAATAATTATCTAAATATAATTATATATATAAATATAATTATAATAAAAAACAAATGTTCACAAAACAAGCCATATGAAAAATGGGAAATAATTAAAAGAAAGCAAGTACTAGAATTAAGAAGGGCTAAGGAAGTCTTCCAGTAGAGGCTAGAATTTTAGTTGAAACTTAAAGGAAGCCAGGGAGGTCAGTAGTTGGGAGATGGTAGAGCAGCATTCCAAGCATGGTCGATAGCCAGAGAAAATGCCTGGAGTAAATAGATGGAGTGTTTTTGTGGCACACACAGGAGACCAGTGTCATTTGATCAAAGAGTATGTGCTGGGGAGTAAAGTATAAGAAGTCTGCAAAGGTAGGAGGGGGCTAGGCTATGAAGGCCTTTGAATGCCAAATAGTGCATTTTGTATTTGCTCCTGGAGGTAAGAAGAGGCACTGGAGTTTGGGGGGGGGGAGCTGACATGATCAGACCAGTGTTTTAGGAAAATCACTTTAGTGGCTGAATGGGGAATGAATTGGGGGTAAGGAAAGACTTAGTGCAGGCAGACTCATCAGCAGACTATTGCAGCGCTCAACAGCCACTTTTGGTCACATGATGGAAATTAAAGCAATTCTGATCATTTTGTATACATATGCACCTTTCATTCTTTAGGAAAACTGAAGTTTTCCGGGTAGAAAATTTTGCATTCCAGCCCATCCCTTTATTTTCCTTGAGAAATCTACCATGACCCCGACTAATTAGCTAATAAGTAATTTCTGTCTTCAGGCAATTGGTGTACTTTTTCCCCCTGACTAATTATAACAACTGGAATAAAATTATAATGTGTCACAGAATCAAGGAATAATCTATTTGTTTTCTGTTGCTTATTTAAACTCTATGAAGTATTCTTTGATAATTTCTTGAAGAATACCATTCAGATTCCTTTTTTCTTTTATTTTCTAGAATATTAGTTATCTTGAGATTAAAGCATTATGATCTATGTTCCAAGACTGTCACAATTCTATTTTTTCCAATTCTTTGAATATTTTAGTGATTTTTCTGATCCTATATTTCTAGTAAATCTGTATTTCCTACATTTAGTGAGAAGCCTTTTATTGGTTGATTTTAGTGATTTCTCCAAGTCTTTTTTTTTATTATTATTATAAACCGCATGCTAGCAATTTTCTTCATTATTTCTTCTTGATTTGGGGGAGAAAAGCTTTAATTTTTTTATTTTAAATTTGTTTAAGCTACTTCCTATTTGTTCTTTTTTCATTTAGGTTTTAAATTCTCTATTCTTTTTTGGGGGGGAGTGGAGTTAGGGGAGAAGAGTCTGCATTTGTGATTTTATTGGTAGAAGGAACTCCCAAGTGTGGACACATCTTCTACCAATGCAAACCACCAAATTGTCTATAATTTAGTCTTTTTCTTAAAATTGTGAACTTAACAAGCACCAAATAAAATGGGCATTTCCACATACATAATTTAACAGAAAAAGACAACAGCAGTGAAACTATAGATACTTATTATGTACATCTTGATACTTTAAACATAAATAATAATTTCAAAATATAATTTTTGAAGTTGTTCTAGTTGTCTATGATTTTTTCTGGGCTTCCTGTTATTTTCTGGGCATTTTAAAAAAAAGATTGTTTCAATAACCCACTTTTTCTTTTTTTGCTACCCTATCTTTATTCCCTTTTCCCTACCACCCATCCAAATAGGGATGGGGGGAGAAGAGACCTTACAAAAATATGCATAGTAAAACAAAACAGATTCTTACATTGGCAACATACAAAAACATATGTCTTATCAGCACTTTTGTTCCATCATCTTTCTGTCAAGAAGAAAATACCATAGTTCATCATTAGTACTCTAGCAACATGGTTGGTCATTGCATTAAAAAGTTAAAGTTTTTTGGAGGCACTAGGTGGCACAATAGATATAACTCTGGCCTTGGAATCAGGAAGACCTGAGTTCAAATCCAGCCTCAAACACTTTATATTTACTAGCTGTGAGACCCTTATCAAGTCACTTAATCCCCATTGCCTCACCAAAAAAAAGAAAAAAAAGTTAAAGTTTTTCAAAGTGGTTTTCTTTATAATGTTATCATGCAATCTATTCTGTTTTTGCTTGCTTACTTCATTCTGCATCAGTTCAAACAGGTCTTCTGAAGTTTTTCTGGAACCATTAATTTCATCATTTCTTAAAGTAAAATAATATTCCATTATGTTCATATACCATTATTTGTTAAACCATTTCCTAACTGACAGGAAATGCTTAGTTTCTGGTCTTTGTTAAAAAAAAAAATGTTGTCATAAACTTTTTGTACAAATGAGTCCTTTTCTTCTTTCTTTGATCTCCTTGGGGTATTTGTCATTTGTCCTTTGTTCTCAGAGAGGACTGTGACATGAGGAAGGTGATGCCATGACTTTTAAGTGGTATTGCTGGGTCAAAGTCACCTTTAATCACTTTTTGGGTGTGGTGCCAGATTTCTTTCCAAAATAACTAGATGAATTTCACAGCCTTTCTGAGTCACTATTCAGAATCTGGTACAACAGACCACTCAGAACAAGAGATCTGAAGGAAAGGTTACTTTAATTAAAATCATATTCTACTAACATCAGGTAGAAGTAATTCCCAAGGTGGTTTAGAAGCAGTCCGGAAGACAAAAACAAATGAAACACAAAAAAAGGTTTAAAAAGCAGTCAGCAAAGAGATTCTGATTCCCTGGTTTCTCTAGAATTCCCTACCAATGTCTAAAAAACTGCTTTTATATTCCTCTTGCCCAAAGGGGCTACATTTGGGTCCTGAATCAATTTACCTGGGAGCAAAGGTAAGTCCACCTGCCCCATGTCTACACCACAATGTCCTTGCTTCCAGCAGTCCCTGTTAGTATTGCACTGGTATTTGCACAATGCCTGACTAGATGCTTAATAAATGTTTATCAGCTATTGACTATTATGGGAGTAGGAGGATGGTATTTCACATCTGATTCTTAGCCCACTACACTACTATCAACATTATATTAGTGTGCCTGTTTTCGGTTGCTCCTCCAGTAGCAACCATTTATGTTTTTATCATCTTTGTCAATCTTCTGGGAGTGAGATATAAACTCATTTCAATTTGCATTTCTCTAATTATTAGTCATTTGAAGCATTTCACATAGTTATTGATAGCTTAAGAAACTATCTTTTCATATATTTTGTCCATTTATCTAATGGAAAATGTGCAATTTAGTCTTAGACAACTGGTTGGGGGGGGGGCACTGAGAAATTAAATGATTTGGCCACAGTCTCATCCTAAAAAGACAAAAGGGTGGCTTAAACCCAGGTTTTCCTGGCTATACCATTGGCCCTCTGTGTACTACTCTAAATTGACCGTCTGATTACTTTACTCGCGTGAATCTTTGATCTCATGGGAGTTTATTCTAATTACTAATATAGCAAATCATTTATGCCTACCTATCCTGTGTAACCCTCATTCATAACCTCCCAAATTCACCAAAGGGTGAAACATACTAGAGGCCTTCCTCACTTCCTCCTACAATTGTGAGACTACTAGTGGAGCACCCAGTCCACCTATCCTCTTTGGCTGTTTGGAATTTCTCATTTTATATCCTGCTCATCCCCAATGCCTTTCCTTTGCCATCTACAAAACGTTTGTCTAACTTTTTGACTGGCAATGATTGTCTAGGTTTTGCTTCCACGCTGCAACACTAGCAAAATAATTATATTAAAAAGATGAGCTGCCATCTTGGGGAGGGAGAGGGAAGGGAGGGGGAGAAAATTTCGAACTCAAAATCTTATAGAAATGAACATTGAAAACTAGATATAGATATATAGATGAACCTTAGCTATTATAGTTTCACAAAAAGGTTAATACAAAATAAAATAAGTCAGTAAAAAGTGCCCTGTAAGTTACCAAAAAGCAACTCGGCTCGCTTTTCTACTCTTTTTAAATTGTGAGTACATATTACATGCGTATATGTGAATTGTCTGTCCCAGATTTGTTGGACAATTGTTACAGGGTGTGCATTTCAATGCATGTTGAAATCTGGGCAATATTCCTCATTCATTTGTTTTTTTTTTTTCTTCTATGTGAATTGACAGGTCAAACTCTTTTGCATAATTACATATCTCTTCCAGGAAGCTCTGTAATGTCTTGGATTGATGCAGTCAACACAATGTAAGATGCCATGAGGTGAATCTTTATGGCCTTGTCATCAACAGAAAATCCCTCCTCAGTCTGGACTCTGACCTGGATCTCCTCCTTCACAGTAGCAAAATACTTTTCATGAGCATATATATCCCCATTTTAAGCCACACCTGACAGTTATTATAAGCAGGCGATTAAATGAGGTTATTTTTGTTATTACATATTGCAATATTACATATTGTTATTACATATTAAATGATCTCAGTACACAGAGAGGAGCAACCTTGTAAAACAGCCCATAAGGCTCTGCCTAATAAAATTCTGCTTTGTAATCAACAAATGCTAAGTACAGTGGGATTTTATATTCTCTACATTTTTCAGTCAGTTATGATTGAAATAACTATGGTCCATTGCTGACTATCAATGAAGGCCTCCTTGTCTGTTAGTGATAGCTTCGTCAAGGATGCTCTCAATTTGTGTATCAATTTTGGTCCTCAAATTTTTTTTTGTTTTTACAGATGTGACAATAGTCATAGAAGTTATTTTCTCAGTAACCTTTTTTTTTGTATCAATAAAGTCTCAGATTTTTTTCCACTCCTTTAGTAACTTCTCCTTTTAAATCATTTCCTCAATGTTCTTCCTACCTTATACTCAGGTCCTCAATTACCTGACAATAACATCAACTCCCGCAGAGATGGCCTCTACATACACTTGGTTCAATCCTGCTACTGTTTCAATCTTTGTTCTCTTTTGTGCTATTTCTACTTTGTAGAAGTAAACAATTCAGGGACTGTGATGTATAGGCTTCAAGTGTGGGGGTTTCACTATTCTTGATGAAGAGAACAATTTGTTGTCATGATTTTTGCAGATACTTTCCATTTTTCTTCTTTTCATAATGCTTTATATGTTTTCATCCATGGATGTCCTTGGGATGATTTTCCTTAGATAAGTATCTTGCCAAGCTTTTTTTTGGGAGGGGGGGATGCAGAGGAAAGATTGGTTTTACCCTCCAATACGTCTCTCTGGTTTAAGACAGATAATCATTAAGACAGATACTCTATCATTCTTTTGTGTAAGACTTTACAGACAAGTATATATTTCTGAACTGTTGCCTTTGCAAGACATCACTTTCTATTTGGCAGCAAAGTTAAATATTTACTAAGGCATTTTCAACTTACTATAAGCAATTATTTTGCATTGGTTTAACTTCTCCATGAAAATATTACAGTCAGCATTACATTTCTTCTGTTGTCCAATTCCCAGTTTTCCATTTTCAATGGCATATTTTTAATAATCCTGTGTTATATATTAATTGTGCACCATTTCTTTTTTCCTCATTCCTATGCTTTCTTGTTTATTATAAATTTTCTTCTTTGCTCTGATGAATTGATGATATGACTATTTAAACAACTGACCCAGGGACAACTTCCACAAATTTTTTCCTGCCTATTTAAAGATGGTCAATTTTATTGCGAGGTCCAGTGCCTAACATTTTTTTAATAAGGTTTTCATAATACTTCTATATAATATAGAACCTTTGACCTCTCTCATTTCCCATGTATTTCCCTGCATCTTCACCTTTCCCCACCTTTACACTGAATGCACAAAGCATCAGAGAATAAGCTGACTTTATTTGAAGGTCTTATTGTCCTTCTTATTTTATTTCCTTTACTAGTAGTAATTCTTGCTTAATTTCTTTAAATATGTAATTTATTAGATTATCCTACAGGAAAAAATGACCTTATTTGAAGGTCTTATTGTAGTAATTCTTGCTTAATTTCTTTAAATATATAATTTATTAGATTATCCTACAGGAAAAAATGACTTTATTTGAAGGTCTTATTGTCCTTCTTATTTTATTTCCTTTACTAGTAGTAATTCTTGCTTAATTTCTTTAAATACATAATTTATGAGATTATCCTACAGGAAAAATCTTTTTTTTTCCACATTTGCATTGCCACTAGCATTGCCAACTATTTTAGATGCTCCTGTAGTAGGACTTTGCTTTTTACTCATTTTCTATCTACTGGTTTCTGTTTTTTTTAAATCCATTTTCCTATATCTTATTATTCCTACTAATGTTTCTGGTGGGGTATGTGAGAAGCTTGGCTCCCTTCAAATCTCTCACCCAACAATCAAAACTGGAAAGCTTTACACACACACACACACACACACACACACTCAGTTGAATAAAATCAAAAAACTTATTAATATAACAGGAGGAAAATGCTTTACATATAGCATACTTTCAATTGTTTACATAAATATATTTGTCATAAAAATAAATTAAATTATGAATTTTTTTATATAATCCTCTATGTTTTTGTTAATGCCTATCATTTTAAATTTCAAACATTGATAAAATATGATCATTTCACTAGTAAAATTAGTTTCCAAACAACTTTTATAAATTTTCAAGAACACATACATGATCTACATGATGGGGTGTTACATACACAAAGTGGTGATGATAATAATAGTACCCATTTCACACAGTTGTTGTGAAGATCAAATGAGATAAGTAAAATGCCTTGCATTTTAAAGTTGTATATAAATTTTAGCTATCATAATTATGCGTCTTTTTATCATGCACTCTAAAAGGCAGGTCATAGCTACATACCATGTTAGCTTAATAATTAAAACAGTATTTACACTGTTATCTCCAAAGGAATATTCCTATTAAAGCAATAACCACATATTGGCTGACTAGTATTAAGTGCTCTGCCAATAAGTCACCAGTAAATCTCTCCATAGATCAAAGAATGTAACTGCAAATAGAGAAAAAACAGGGAAAGTTATATGTAATCCTTAATCTTAATGGTGACAAGGTAGGAGCAAAAGGGAACAAAGACAATTTTTTAAAAAAGAAAAAGAAAAGCTTGTAAGCATTTTTTAACCTGCACTGAAGCCACTGGAGAACATGATAAAAAGAAATCAATCTGACAGAAGTATAAGGTTGTAGAAAATAAGGTGATTTAAAATACACTGAAAAAAATAATGGAAGAGGTACATATCATTAAACATTAAGATGTATTTTTAGATTCAAAAGAGAAACAAATGCACGCCTTTTGTTATCAGATATATAAATAGACGAGATTGGGGAATTGGTGTCAGTCATTCTATATGTAGTTGCAATGGACTGGGAAGAGGAGAATTTCAGAGTATAAAGAGGCAGTATTTCTTAGGTCAATGAGGAAGATGTGCTTGCCCCAGTTGAAAAAGAAATGTGTGCTAAGGAATAGCTGCTTCTTAGTTTTCTTTCTTCTCCTATACATAAAGGAAGTCATACACACACACACACACACACACACACACACACACACACACACACACA